TTTTTTTTCTTTTAGTGGAAACAACAATCTATTAATAAATAGTTTGCAATGTGATGTGCAATCAGTTGCCTAGCAACACACCTATGCTCTGACTTCGGTTTTCACCGCATTGCTTCATCTCTAGATGTTTAGAGCAACAGTCAGTAACACACCCCCTTTGTGGTTGCAAGCACTCACGTGATTGGTCATTATTTTGTGAAAAAGAATTGAAAAGAATCACTATTTACCTTCACCCATTTTCTCTAGTCTTGACCACCTATCCAGTTGCTTGGCCAGTTGTATTGTGGCAATCGCATCACGTGTACCTGCAAAATAGATTTTTTATACAATTGTCATGAGGTTGAGTTTCTGCATCATTTTCCCTTGTCATATTAGTGTTGCTTCAATATAAACATAAAAATAGTTGATTCGTTTGATCAGAAAGTAAATACCAATTCAAACATGGTTGACGAATTGCATTGGAGCTTACAAGATATGGAATGTCAAGCTTATGGTAGTAACGGCATGCGTGTTGAGAACATCTTGTCCTATATGTCTTTTTTTACGGGTAAAATCTTGCATTAATCAAATAGCATCATCATTACAATCTGCTTTACTACCTCTCGCAAGCCGGAACCAAAACGAGGAGGCAAAAGATGATTGATCTCAGCAATCAATGATGCAAACATTGATCTGTCTAGATCCTTCTCCTTGAGCACGTTCACTACTGATAGCGTGTCTAGTTTCACACAAATAGGCAACTCTGATCTCTGAATGGCAATGAATATTCCCTCCATACAAGCACATAACTCTGCTTCGTGTCCTATATTTTAATGAAGAAAAGAAAAGTTTAATTTCATATGGAGTATTTTAATAACCTTAAGATAAGTATGAATTCATTCATAATCATCTTTATCAATAACTTTGAAACCACAATCTCCCACACTTACAATTTTCAGAGTCCTAGTCTTCTCAAGCATTGCATTCATACTTCCTGCCAAGAGAAAGGTCAAAATAGCTATTAGAAAAATTAAGGCAGCCTAGAAACACAAAAATGAGTTAATCAATACTCATATTACTTCCGAAAGTATCATTCTTTCAATAGCCAGTCTCCAACCTTTTATGATTTAGTATGATTGCCACGTTTACTGGAGATGTGGCCAATGTGTTATCTGCTCTCTGATGTCCTGCAAGGCTACTAAAAACAGAGAAATCGTTTGCATATAGATAAGTAATTTTATGCAAAAAAATAATGGTTGAAAACTTACTTAAAAATGCAATGCTCCAATTTATCAAACACTCATTTCTTTTTTCCCGGGAACATGCATGAGAATTGCATGTAAATATATTAAGAAGGGGAGAGTATATCAACCTAAAGAAGGCCAACAAGAGCAGCAGCGCCACAAAGTTTAAACAACTATAAAACAAAAAGATGACGCAGCCTGCAGCTAAATATCGTTGTCTCTTCAGCAAAAAAATTTCCATGAAAACATCTGGCTATAACTTAGTATTTTCTATTTATATGTGGCGTGTCGGTTTTTTTCAATGAAGAAAATGAACAATGCATTTTCTATATCTCAATTCTTAATCCGCAATTTGTTAGAGCCTCAGGTTTACTCATCATCCTTAAACTCTGTATTTTGAATGAAGGGAGGAAAGAACCATCTCCAGAACCCTTTCCCTCTTAAACTAAAAAAAAATCATTTCAGAAATTTTATTTAGTGTAATTTCTAGAACACTGAAGAACATTGCTATAAATCGCTTGCACACCCTGTCCTTGCTGTGCTCTTCTCTCCTCAATCTCTTCTTTTCACTTACTCGCTGGTCCATGATTAGATGGCAAAACAGAGCCCCTAAATCCCTGATGGATGCGGTGCTGAGTGACTGCACCTGTGTCTCAAGTGTGTGGATGTCTGCGTGGTGGTCGTCGCCTTGCGCGATGCAGTGTCCATCATCAGCGCCTGCATGCTGGCTGCCCGCGTGCGACACGTCGTCGCCATTCTCGACCTGCTTTTGGCGACCGTCCTCCAGGACAGCTGTGACAACGCCCTGGTCGTCATCCGCGGGAACCTTAAGGAGTCCGTAGAAGCCCGCGACTCCACAAGGCGTGCGAGTGCTGGACGTCGACCTGCGCCATGCCAAGGCCAAGTGCTTGCATGTTGGCCGCTAGCATGCACCACATAGTCACCATCGTTGGGCTGCGCGAGGCGGCAATCCTCCGAACGGCATGCCGTGACGTCCGTCTGCGACCTCGCCGTCGCCTTGGTGAACGCCGCCCTCCGCGAGCACGCTCGCACGACTCCGTTGCCCTGATGGACGCCGCCTTCCGCGGGAACGCCACCATTGCCCTGCTGGACGCTGCCTTCTGTGGGAACGCCGCCGTGCGGGTGGACTCCGTCGCCCTGCTGGACGCCGTCCTCCGCAAGCAAGCTATCTGTCTTCCCAGTTCCCACAAGTGGATATCTTCCATGGCCATGAGCTTGACGGGGAGGAGAAGAGGCGGACGAAGATGAAAGGCGAAAAGATAGAAGGAGGAGGCGTGCGATTTGGAGTAATTAATGCGGGAATTACAACGGAAGCGGAAGTAGAGGAGCATAGTTGGAAAGAATCGCTGAAGTATCTCACGCGCAGATCATGGATTATATTTGGCAAAAAATTATACCCACAGTAAACGGAATCAGGGGAGTAATTAGTTAGAATTTTTTTCCTAAAGAAAACGTGCGTGAGGATGGTCTGCCAGCAGAACATCCAATCTGAACCGTTCGATTGACTGGCAGACCACCGGGACATTATGGGCTCTCAGATTTCACTTAATCAATTAGATCTGAGGGCTCTGCTTATCCCGTGTACACTTTGAGGTGTGTCTTTAGAGAAACTCATGTTTGCTCTTTTAATAGTAGTGTAGATAAACATCATCATAGTACTCGAATTACATAACAATTCCAGAAAGAATGACTGAAAGTTGGAAGTTGGGTCACAATCAGGAGTATTTGTAACAATGAAGAACTGGCAATGCAGTGGTGAGACATGTAGTATTTTTTCCACCTTGGTTTTTATATCCTTCTTTCTTCTTTGTTGTGAGTATTTGATCCATGATCTATAGAGATTGGATGGAAATAAATAGGCCCCTTATGCATTCTTTCTCCCTTTGATGCCCGAATTTATGAAATTAATTTGGATGTGTAATCTTTGAGCCTACATCAAGATATTGAGTGGCAACTTCTACTGCAGTAAAACATCTGGATTTGATACCATACATGAACACGATCAAATGTGTAATATCTTGGTTTTCTCAACAAAGAAAAGAAAACATTGCACTCCTATTTAATTATGAACATGGGTTGATTACTCATTGAGGAGACGCACAACGCTGTGGCCAGAGAAGCAGCAATGAAAATGAGACGAAGAATGTTGGACATCAATTACTCTTATGAGGATTTGGAACCACCACAGATTAAGGCGAGAAAGGAAGCACCACATATTAAGGCTACTCCATTTATCCGTCTGTGCACTGTTTAGGAGGATTTTTTTGGGGGGGGGGTGTCTTTTGAAGGGAACGACGAGGAAGAGGGCGGATGCGTCGGCGGGAGCGGCAAGCGAATGCATAGGCGGAAGCGGCGCTCAACAATCATATGTGCCGGCAGTAGCGCTCGCTGTGCGGGGGCATGCGGCATCGCGTCGACGCTGGGACGGCGGAGAAATTCGGGGGGTGCAGTGGAATGGTGGATGCGAGTGGAGTGGGCGATGCGACGACGACGATTGATGATTATCTGTACTGCCGGTTGTGTTGTGTTCCAAAAACATCCAAGATTTTTTTTGTAAATTTACCACTCACGACATATATTTTGGGACGGAAGGAGTACTATTTCTGGCCGGGGCACCCGAGGCAACGACTGCCA